GCACCGGTCCGAAGTTTGCCTAATTAATGGCGAACCTTTCAAAGGGCTACACCTTGTTCCATATTTCTGGAGTCTTTCCAAAATAAATAAAGTATTTTGTGGCTTTTGGGGCAGGACCGGCTTGGCTTTGTGGGTCATTAGCATGTGCTAAAACGGCGTGAAATGTGCGGCGGATGTTCGAGCTCGGGAGAGCCCACGCAGGACATGCTCGCCCTGAAGTCCTTCTTTCCGATTCCGGTATAATAAATATGTCATATATTCGGGTACTTTCGCGTGCCACTGCCCTATCTTGCCTTCTCCTGCGCCTGCACGGCTGGCAGGGGGTGTGTTAAATTTTTCTAATTGTCCAAATTTTAGATAATTACACGCCATTAATTATTTACATAATAATAACGTTCCCCGTCCTTACTCCGCTGAGGAGGGTTTTACAATTTTGTGGCTGACTTGGCTGTGGGCGTGGCACTCTCGCACATACCTCTGTACTTGTATATAGAGTCTATATAGTCCGGGAAGTATGTATGGTAGTCCGCGGTGGGGGCGTAAAATTAAATTTACATAATTTATGACTTGCTCAGCAATGTTCATGGGTGTTGTGTTGCATAATTTTAGGCATTTTTGTTTATTGCGGCGTAAAATTTGAATTATGATTCAGGAATAGCCCCCGTTCCGCTTTCGCCATCCGCCATCCGCTCTGGCCCCACCCTTGCCGTTCCTACTTCCGTGCAAGGGTTACATTCTGAGGTTATTAGTAATTTATTTGCATATTTTGTGGCTGGTGGGGCAGGGCTGGGGCGCCCGCCGCCTGACGGACAGGAGCAGGAACTCAAGTGTCATACGACAGTCAAGTGTCGTGTCTTGAGTGAAATACGCTTTGAGTTGGGTTGGGACACTGCCAAGGTGGCGTCCCGCTTTCATTGTCAAAGGAGCCGAAGGAGCTACCTACGGCTTTAAGATTTAATTTCCGTGTTTTTATGGCAAATATGGTTTTTATGTCGCTCCGGCCCAGATAGTATATGATCCAATAAGCCCCTCCCTGCCCGGGATCAAAACCAACTTTAATTGCCACTTGCTAATTGCCAACACCCACAAGGACCTGGACCTGGGCCCGGGAGAGACTGCCATATTTCATACATCAGAGATACACAGGGAATATAGATATTCCATTGAACGTGGCCAGGACCGAGCAGCGTAAAAAGCAGAAGAAGCAACCACTGATTAGTATCCGAAGGCGGAGGGAGGACGAGATAGTGCTGTGGTTGTTGGTTGGCTGGATGGTGCCTCCAGCACGAGCTCTATCTGTGGCTGAGGTAGTGAAAAACTTTTGATTAAGCTGCAGTTATGGCAGGTTGTTATGGCGGAGAGCTGGTACAAGCTTTTGTTTTGCTTGCCAGCTGGTTAGTTTGGCTTGCCTTTAGCCCAGCTTGATGTCGGGGCGCGCTCCTTCCCTTCCCCCGTGCTGCGCACACATGACAGATGCTTGCGGCAACATTGTCTACTTTTAGGTGCTCCACCAGCGCCAGTGACAAATTTTTCCATCAGGCGATCTGCTGTAAGTATCTGCTGCAGCACGGGCAACTTTTGCATGAAACTTTCATGCTTTTGGAGAAGTGAGCCAGCAGCAGCACCAGCAAACCCAGCTTTCAATAAGCAAACCCAGCTCTGGAGCCGAGTAACCCTGCAGCTAACCCCATAAAATATTACTTTTCTATCAACAAAAGTTGCCGGGCCACTCAATTCGAAACCATTTTCCAAACTATCATCATCGTCGAGTCGAGTGGAGAAAGCATCGTAAAAATCGCTCTTCATGTGCTCCGGAGCAGGGGCGGCCGGGCCAAAGCTGGGTAACGAAGTGGAGTGCTGGAGCCTGCTGCCATAACAAAGCCATAAAACGTACTTTTAATTGCATTTTCGTTGTTCTGTTTTATATAGTTCGACCAGCGAATGCATAAAAACGGCAACACAGAGCCGGCAACGGCAAGTGGCCACTGGCCAGAGCGGAACAAAGCTGGCCGAGAGCCCGCCTGTTCTGGCCCGGTTCGATGCGTCGCATTCTAATTGCACGGGGGGAGGGCACTTATGGCTTGACTGGATCTCCGGATCTCTAGTGCCACCCTGCCCCGGCTCTAGTCCGAGTCCCGATTGCTGTCCTCTGCGATTTTCGCTTTGCTCACTTAGCGCTCGGGCATCATAAACTAACGGAGTTTATGGGTCCATGCACCCAGGACACTCTCCGCCACGTCCTAGATGCCATGAGACAGAGCACTTGGCCAAGTTGCCACTTTGGGGCATTGCATATGCGTAGGCGGCGACACTGCGGCTAGTGTCCCCCTCGCACTCCCGGAGGCAGAGATGTCCTCCCCCCGCCTCGTCATGCATGACTTGCTGGGGCGCTAAAATTTGCGGTTTAACGTTGCCACTGGCGCCAGTCGCCTCCCAGCAGCCGCTGAAACATCCCACCCAGGGCCGCCACCCCCTCCGCACTTTGTCATAAGCAATTGTGAGGGCTAATTGTGTCGAGGCAGGAATCTTTTGACTCCGCGAGGGACGGCCAGAACGAGAGCCAGATTTAATTAACATTTTGACTCCGAAAGGCTTCGGCTGCTGGCAGCATTTAAATTTTAAATTATGAGTGCTAATTACCCGGCCGAGAGATGCGTCGGGAGGAGCATGCCGGGAAGCCTTTTCGGCGCTAATAATCAGCCCAGACTTTTGTGCAGAGTCAGAGATACCTTAGAAGCCGAACTTGCTTTTCGGAGGAGTCCTGACGGCTCATAAATGGGCTGCTTTATTTACTGGGCTACCAGAGGCACCAGGACCAGGGCCAGGACCCCGGACATCGGTTGCATCGAAGGGCGGATCAATGTGCGTGCATGTCGGTCGGATGGTTGGTTTTGCAGACAGAAGCCATCGGATAGCGGTGGCAGCCAGCTGCAGGTCTCCCCCACTGATAAACCCTTCAGAAGCCAAGCAGTCTGTTTGGCAAGCCAGATGCCTGCATGGCTCTCGGCCGGGCCTTTGAGGATGTGGCTCTGTGGCTCCTAGCCCGACTTGAGCTGAAAACATTTTCCAATTTATTAAACCATGCCACATCAATCATTCATCAGCATCGGGAGCAGGTCCGGGCGCTCGTATGGGGACGTGTGGCTAAATGAACATTTTTCGCTTAAACATTGGTTTCAATTTTGCGGCGTCACGTTGATGTTGCCACCGTCCATCCCATCGCTCCATCCATCGCCTGGCCATCGCCATGCCTGTATATAAAATCAACAAGGCTCCAGTTCATCGACCACTTAATTTATCCTGCTGAGCTTTGAGTGAAGCAAAAACGCATTTGGGTGTTGTCTGGCCAGGAGCGATGGGGCAGCAGGGAGCAGGGAGCAGGGACCAGGGACCAGGGAGCAGGGCAGGAATGCCTTTGGTCAGACAGAGAAATGCACTTAATTGCCGTTAGCTGTTGCCTGTTACCCGTTACTAGTTACCCGTTACCAGTTAGTCGTTAGCCACTAGCCAGGCCGCTGGTTTAGGGCTCCCGGCTGCAGTTGCAAAAAATATCAGCCAAACAAAGTGCATTTAGGCCTCCCCCGGCAGGGAGGCTCCTGCCAGCACTACTCATTATGCATTAATGTAAATACGGTAAATGTTGTCCAATCATTAACATAATTGAATTACAAACAAGCCGAACCGCCAGCAGAGCCCCGAATTTTCGACTCTGCGACTCTGCTCCATGCGCGTGCATAAATCCCAATTTTAATTACTTGTCTCTGACTAATGGATTGTTCCGAAAAAACACGCTCCGGCGGCGGGGAGGCCCTTCGACATTAAATATTTCATATCGCAGGACGCAAGGGTGGGGGGCCGCTTGGCCACCCAATCACGGTTATATAAAGCAATTTAATTTTGCAGTTAAAAGCTCCAATCGTTTTCAATTGCCGCAAACTAATGGCGGATTATAAAATATTCATGCGACAAGCGGCAGGTGGCAGGCGATGAGACGACGAACTTGCACGCGGGGCTAATGACAGGGCCAGGGCCCGGGGACTAGGCTCTTCCTGGCCCGCCTGATGAGCCAATCTAAGGCCAGGAAGCCCAGAGGCGTGCCCGATCCGCCCCCTTCCCAGGGAGACCCATGCGAGGCAATGTGTGCGTTCGTACGACTGTGTGGTGCAAATAAATTACACCTGCGAGGGGCAGGGGCAGCGGGGCTTGAAAGGACTCGTTCTTGTTGATTATTGATTTGCTCGGGTTTTTGCGGTTTTCATGGACTTGGTCACCTGGACCCTCGGACGCCTCGGTCACCTCGGACACCTCCGGATCTCAATTCGAACATTCGGTATAAAGCCCTCAATTAAGTTTTGTTTTAATGCATTTCATTTGAACGTCTTTTAATGGGATTTTTCGTGCTCTGGCACGGAATATTACTCATTTGCCATAAACCGAAAGGTGACCACAACACGTAGCCATTCGAGTCCCAGTCCCAGTCCTGCTTTCGGGCCCGATCCCACTGCGATGGTCGGATGAGCAGAGAGAGCGGGAAAGTGACTGGCCGTGGATGTGGAAGTGGATATGGATGTGGGAGGGAGTGTGCAGACCTGGTAGGAGGGTGGGGAACGTTAAGTGTTGGCTGGCCAGAATCGACATGGGTCGCTTGGGTGAGATTTAAGCTTTAATGATGCATGAAGCGGCACAGGATGTGGCTGCCCAGTCGTGGGTAAAAGGCAATGAGCGCAAATGTGCAGGAACGTGGGCAGTGGGCGGTGGGTGGGTAGCAGTCGAGGCAGAGGACCACAGGAGATGGGCTTGCATATTGAGTGGCATTTAAATGCTCGAAAATGCTTCGCTGGCCAAATGTGTTTTGGGAGGTGTTTATGAAGAGCTCCTCGGCCAACGACAAAAGTTGATTGAATTTGAGAGCGGCCTAGTCCGCCTAATGGCTAATACCCCTATCCTAGTCACCTCTTTGGCACTGTTACTAATTCAGATGTTTCTCCTCTTACTTGCAGATGAACCGTGCTTTACAGCTGAAGCCAGCGGAAAATGAAAGTCGCAGCGGTAAGTAGTCACCTGCCGGGGAATATTCCATTAGTACACCTAGCGGTTCGGACGCGGGCCTGCCAGAAAAACAATTTGCGAGTAACAAACCGTAAGAGGTCTCCATAGGTGACCCAAACAAATAATTACGAAAAACTTGACCCGCTTTCTTGCGAGTCCTTCTTCGGAAAGTTTTTGTGCAAAAGCACTCAACCGAAAAGTGCAGAGCCGGCAAAAGTTCGCCGTCCACCGTATGCCGCCCACCGCCGGGGTCCCTGCTATTTTCAACACCTACAACACACGTCAGCAGAAATTACGGGCGCACTTCGATAAACTGTCAAAACTGTCTGGAAAAATTTGACATTTCACAAAAAAGCGGAGCTCGGAAAAAGCTTAGGAAGGTGGAGACGGTAAAAACGGTAAAAGCGAGCACCAAAACAACGCCGAACTGTCAATGGCACATAAACAGGGAGCGAGGGTAGGATGGGCTCTGGATGCCCGGGCGAGGGCAGAATGTGGGACGGCCTTTCTGGGCAGAGCGCCATATTGTTTTTCCCAGACCCACTCTCCGGGTTGTCGTGTTTCACGCTTGTTTGTGACAGCCCATCGACCCTCGTGCCCCCACTCGTCCCGCACATCAGAAAAGAATGATAAAGATTTGCATAATTTACAGAGCACTACAAGTTTGTTTTTGGGTCAGCCCGGCCGGAGCTGTTGTTGCCTTGATAAACTTATTGACAGGCTCATTATGCAGCAGCTTCAAAGTAATTTCTATATTCCGCTAGCCGGGCGCCGCAGTAGGTGGCTCTTTGGCAGGGGGAGCCCCCAGCCATCGCCACACACTCCGGGCAGAGTCACTGCACCCTGCAATCTTTTAAGGCGTTTGGCAGCTGGCATTGCTTATCACTGCGCAGCAGAGGAGCGCACAGCTCCAAGTGTCCATTGCACAAATTGCAAGAGCACACAGACACACACCCAGCCGGAGTGCAGGAGGAGACGGAGCAGGGATCAGAAGGAGTCATTTCTCATAACAGTCGCCGACGTCGGGGGCTGTGGCTCTTTCTGTGGCAAAAACCTTGACAAAGTTGATGTGTCAAATCAGCAGCCAGCGAGCTGGGGCGAGCCAGCCCAGGACCTGCCACCAGGAATGGGGAGCTGCCATCGAATGACCTTTAAACTTTGGCAAAGGACATGAAAGCACTAATCGTTACGTTGCTCCCTTCATTCATTCATTCGTTCGTTCGCTCAGTCGTCCTTTGCTTCGATTTGGTGGCTCCTTTGGCTCTGTTTCAGTGCCAAGTCCCTGTTACTGCGAGTCTCTCGCTGGCTCGGCGGCAACAATTTAAACTTTTCTAATCCGCTGGGGATTGGAAACTTCAAGCAACTCGACTCAACTCAACTCAACTCGACTCAACTCTGGCAACTTGCTGGCAATCTGTCCGCACAATTGCGGACCTCGACTGCTCGACTACTCGACACTAGGGCTCGGACTTGGAGCTAGAGCAGGGCCACAGCCAGGACATAGTCATCAACGGCGCAATCAAGTCGACATTTTTGTTTGTTGCCTTGTTTGTGCGCCTTCTGACTCTGCCCCGTCCGAACGAGAAGACGAGAAGGAACAAATTTCTAAGAAATTAAAGCGCTAAACTTTTTCGGGCCGCTATCAGCAGAGCACTTGGCAACTCAGCGCCGGGTCCTGGCCGCCTCCATCCCAGCTCGGGCAGTCAGCTGTGACTTTTGACTTGGCCTGTTTGTGTGTGCGGAGGAACTCTTTGGCTTTGGCTTTGGCTCCGGGTTTGGCTCTTTGGTTTAGGCCGAAATGCAATTAAACAAGGACAAGTTTAATTGCTCGGTCTCGGCCGGTCGGGGCCAGGACCCTGCAGGCTGCTGCAAGTTCCACCCGCTGACATTTGCATTTTTCGGGCGCACAAAGAAATTTAATTTATTTAAACTCAAATCAGGCATGAAATGCGAGCGCGGCCCTCTCGGACAGCGGGGGAGGCATTTATTAGTGTTGACAAGTATAAGAAATAAGGACGATAAGGACGGATTCAGGCCCGGCTCACTTCATCACAGTCGTCCCAGTCCCAATCCCAATCCCAGTCCCAGTGCCAGCCATCCTCATCAGTTTCAACTGCCTGAGTGACGGCGATTCATTGTTGGAATATCTGCCCTTTGACCAGCCCCCGACCCAGTCCCAACCCGAGGCGAGTTCAACCCCAAAACCTACAAGGGCATCACGACAATTTGTGTCCTTTGTCTTCCGTCGTCGCCTTCGGTCTTGCATTATGTGTCGTCCGTCTCTGGGCAAGTTTTGTCGCATTTGCAATCTGCCGAGCCACATCTAAGTCTGATGACTTTCGTTTCATTGGCTCCAGTACCCCGCACCCTCCACAACACTTCCTCGGAATTTATCTTGATAAACCTGCCTGGCAACACACAAACACACTGACACATACTTCATCATTAACAAACTCATAAGGTTTTCTGGATCCCGTATCCTGGATGCCGGCTCCCCCTCCCGGAGTCCGCCCGACTTCTCGCCGGAGCGCGTAATTTATACTTGTCCGACACGTAATGATGTCACGTAAATTGCATACGCTTGCTTACGTTGACGTGTTACGTTAGACATTCCTCGGCTGCAGACGAGCGACTTAAAGTCAAATTAATATCACTCATACGACCCGGGCGCAAAAAGAATCTGTCCGAGTCCGGCGCTGGAACATAAATTGCGAAACTCCCGCGCTAGCTCGGGACTGGGCTCTGGGCGGATCTACCACACACAGATTTATGTTTCTAACTACGCATTAATTTCCTACCTTTATCCCCATCCCCCATCCCCAGCCCCCCCGTCACACGTCAGTAAATCAGTGGCTGCTCCGCCCGGAGGCGATTCCCGTCTCGCCTCATTCATCATACTTAAAAATATTCATTTCCTCCCGCGGTGGCCCGGCGGGGTGGTGGCGGGGGAACGATTGCGAAAGATTAAAAATCAACTCCATAAAAATTTCCCGCACATCTCGCCCGATGATAAATGACAGTCGAAAATTAACAGAACCCGTGTGGATGGGCAGGAGGGCTCGTCCCAGGCCTCGCCCCTGGAACGCACATGTGGGGAGCTCGTGGCGGAGAAAAGTTTCGGCAAGCTCATTATAGACAACGCCTCATCAAATTGAAAAGCAATGAGCTATGAAATAGAACTCCGCACTCCCCACTATATTCATTCCGTTCCGATTCCCTAATAAGCAGGCTGCGAAAGTTTCGGCCCGAAAAACTAATAATAATAATACCAATCGTTGTCCGCCCGCCCGCCTGCCGCTCCCCGGCAAAACTTTTCTCATTTCGCCGGCTGCCATTCACTCTCCTCCAAGTCCTTATGCCTGATTACGCATTTGAATTGTATTCCCGCTCCTGTTTGGCCGAGTTTGGCCTTTCGGGCCGTAAAGTCGGCCACACTTTCCCCACCTGCCAGGCTCTTATTAGCGTCAACATTTTTATGGCAGCTCTCACAATTTCATTAGCCGAATAAGGAGTGACAAATTCAGGCGAATTTGTAATTCACAGGACTTCCAATGATTATTGGTTTCGCTTTCTGTTCGAATGACGCGCCCTCGCCATCGCCCTCGCCCTCGCCTCGTCCTGCCAGGATGGCGGCTTCTTTATCTGCTCCACATGTGTGTTATCGTGGAGTGCAAATTAAATCGAAACGAGGCGAGGGTCGGGTGTTGGGCGGAGGGGATATGCGCCACTAAGCCCCAAATAACAAAGCCTCCGAGCCCAGACAAAAGGCATAAATAAAGCCAGCCAACGACGGTAGCATCTACGCCTAAAAGCAGACATCAATTTCTGCCTTTTTGCGTTTTTCTTTGCTCTGTTTCGGCCTTTGCTTCAGCTTCTGCTTCTGCGCTTCTTCGATCCAACTCCTGGGCCGGACGGGGAGCTCAATTCTTTAATCAGCTTAAATTCACACGTACCTACCGAAAGCGACGCACAGCTATTGATTGGAGGCTTACCCCGCCACCTCGGCCCGACCCGGCCCGGCCCGTCCCGGCTCTCCCCCGGCCCGAGTCCTGCCCCGGACTGTGGGCTTTTATCAAAGCCAGTTCAAAGGCTCGCATGTGTATTTAGGTTTTTATTGTTTTTGATCTTTTTCTGCGAGACGGAATAAAAATCGATTTTTTCAAGCACACGCACTTGCGGCTCGGCCGAGAAGGCCCGGAACGAGACTAAATCACCAGAATGGCTGCTGGCAGCATTCACAAGTTCAAATAAGCGATAATAAGTATTTATGGGCGAGGCAAACAGATTCCGTTTGCGGGCGTAGGGCGCAGAACAGCCTGCTAAATGCGTTTTAATGTTTTTTAAACTTTAGCCATTCACTCGCCCCTGCTACAGCCCCTGCTATCCTGGCCCTTAAATATTTAAGTATACTTTTAGGTGATTTCGACGGCTATACGGCTGTATAGTTTCCCATTCGGGGATCTGGGAAAAGTCCTTCCTCGGACTCGCCTTCGACAGTTTGGTCTCCGCATCATTTTTCTTCGTTGCTTGATTTTGCTTTTACGAGCGACTGAAGCCTGTCAATTGGCTGAATGCCTCGTAAAAATGCCAGCGGCCTCAGGCCTACGAGGACGAGGACTTCCTTCAAAGAAAACAAAACGAGGCCGAAAAGAAAACGATTTGTTATGTTTTCTGAGCGCAGCAGTGCCAGCAGGAAGCGGAAAAGCACACAGAGACTGAGACAAAATGGGCCGGCCGCCATTGCTCTTCCACCTCCTTCGCCGCCATCTTGCTCTCTGTTTTGCTTTAAGTTTGTTATTCTGTTGTTTTGTTTTCCTTGGCCGCCGCTTAGGTCGCCAAATGTCATCATTAGCGTTTCAATTGCCATTTTAGGCCGTGACACTCGCAGCATTTGCATAAAATGCCAACAGTCAAGTGTGTTGACGTTGACATTTCTGACGGAAGAAGGACCTTGGCGCTGCATCCCCCATGATCCTGGTGTACCCATATGACATGGCTCC